ATTGTTAATAAACCATTTTGAAGCTTTCGACGATTCGAGAATTCAATCGCCGTTGCTATGCGGAGACTTGCTAAGCATTGTAGTACATTCGAGAATAAGCTATAGAAGCTTCAAGAGTTCCAGGTGTCAAATGTTTATAAATTCGAGAACTAGAAGGCTTATAAAATTTCCGAGAACCGATGGTTTTGTAAAAATGCTCTAATTCTGAAAACATACAAACTTTAAAACAAAGATACATGTTTTTTTAGTAATTCACATTATTGTATTATACATAAAAATTTTATGTGTACTGATTATAAATTACAACCCATTATTATTGATAAATATGTTGCTGTATTTGTAAATAGTTTTTACTTTCAACAATCTTGAATGTTTATGGGATTAATGTTAATTTTTAACTGTAAAAAACAGTGCTACTTGTTTATCAAAGAAAAACTCTTGACAAGACCAACTATCATTAAATTACAACTGGTTCGACATATTTGTAAACTTATTATAAAGAAAATATACATACACAATTAAAAATGCATACTATGTATGTATACACAATTAAAAATGTATCATTTCTAAAGTACAAATAACATTTGTTATATAACAAATAAAAAGGCTATAATAGTATTCCATTTCAAATTATAAAGTTTTAACAATGCACTGAATAATTTAATTATTGTTCTTATATTACAATTATTATTTTCTATATAATTTTACATTTTATTTTTTATTTCTATATCTTATTATGTGCTCTCTTAACATGTAAGTATGCTTTATATTTTTACGATTTTTAGAATACAAAAAAAATAGTTGTTTGAATGAAATTATTTATTTTTATTGAATTAATAAATTGAAACTTCCTAAATTTTCTATACTATTTTTAATACGATTTTTTTAATGCATGTATCTAAAACAAATAAAATAAAATTATTATTCAATATTAATATTGTTAACACCCTAGTTATAGTCAATCTATTATATCAATTCCATATATAATAAGACAAAACTTATTCTAAGTGTAAATGTTTGTTTTTGTTATAAAAATATTTATAAAATATAAAAATATCAGAAAAAAGGGAAGGGGAAAAATAAAAAAATTGATTATTGCTCCGGCAATAGCCAGTCATAAATTAAGTTTTATTAGTTTAAACATGTTTTTTTGTGATCTTGTGTACATTTTAACAAGTATTCCAAATTATTGATATAGTTATATAGAATTAAAATTTTTGTGCTCTATGAAATTTATTTTTTGAAAATTATAAATAAAAACTTTTCATAATTTAATAACTAAAGTAATAAGATAACTTAAATTGCTTATAATGCTTTAAAATTTGTTATCAATAATATTTATATTGAACTATTTTATTAAAAAAATTTGAGTAAATATTACATTCCTTTACAGGATACAGAATAATAAAAACTAACTATTTTGTGTACGAAGGCTTATTAATAATTTTATGAAGTGACTATTTTACTATTACAGGCAGTCTTCGTAGTCAAACCACAGAATAGAATTCAAAGTTTTTAAAACATTTTTCACATATTTCATTACCAATTCTTAATATTATTTTCTTAAGTATAAGAAAAGGTTTTCAAATATATAATAATTGTATTTTAATTAAACATACAATATTAGACAAAAACTAAAATTGTCAAAGCATACTTTTAAATATGTATGTAGCCTTTACTCTATTTATGCTTAAGTAATTCCTCGAAAAGTATATTTAGAAACTTTACATACAAAATTTAATCAATGTCACTTTCATAGATGTAAGATTATATACTCTTAATATATAATTGTATATAATCTAAATCTTGCCATTGGATATGGAGTATATAAGAAAATTACCCGTACTTTAGCGATTTGGAAAAGTAAAATCGTGAAAGTTTTTGTACGTTTAAATGTAATTTGTGTTTTACACAATATTCACACTTTCCTCATATATTTTATATATTTGCAGAAAATCCTTTTTCTACTGGAATACAGGTATATGTCTTGCTTTTGGCTCAATAATGAGAAAATGTCAGTCATTAGTTTCTTCTTTTCCTTTCCTAAAATTTTTAATTGTCACTGTGCTCTGAGTTTATAAATTTGTGGTCTGTTTTTTTATACGATACGTACGCATACTTGTGTCATTCCGTTAGTTTTCTGCCTATCTGAAAAAATCAATCTGAAATCAATAAAAAGTTTTATTTTCAATCAACAATTACTTATTATTTTAAGTTTTGCAAAGTTGAGTAAACATATGAAAAAAGATTTATAAGTTTTAGAATTATTAAAGAATAATGCTGAATTACGACAATGAGAATAACAAGAAATAAACAAATATTGAATTTACAATGAAAGAATGAAAAGACAAAAAATTGTAGGACGTCGTATAAATTTAGAGAATAATTTATCCAAGTTAATGAAAATATGCTATATTTTATATAATAGAAAAACGTAGGTAAATTTATTCTTAAATTTTATTTTATTTTCATTACAAATTTAATATTAATTAAAATATAGCTGTGCAAACAAAAAGTCAATATAATATTTTCAATTAATTATTTTTTATTTTAATGAATTAAAAACTAACAGTTTGCAATATTTTGAAATATTTTAATTTCATGTAATATACTAAAAAATGAATATTAGTCGATTACTGTAACTAATTATTGCAAAATTTAGTTAATTTATATTCATAAATATGTTGACAAGCTAATTTCATGTTTCGTCTAGTTTAATAAAAAAATATGTTGTTAAAATAATTTAAAAAAATTTTTTTATTTTAAACATTAAATATATTGGAAACAGTGATTAATTATTTACTGCGGTACAAAATAAAATCAATACTATCAAATTCAATGAAAAATGAACATTAAATATATATATTTTGTTTTATATTTTTTTAGTTAAACTTTTCCGTTATTCAACTATAGAATTTCAATATTTGTTTGTATCTCATAATAGTTTGGAAACCAAATTCTTTTTCCAATTAATTATAATTAAAATAATATTAGCGATGTAGATCTTTAATATTATACAAATAATTCCTAAAATAAATTAATCATACAAATATTTGAACAAACTAATATTTTTCTAATTAATAAATAATTCAATTTAAAATTAAAAATCGACAAATTGTTATAAATTATAAGTTTGGACTTACAAGTTAGACATGTTATGTTTTGAAGTTATATCTAAATTTAAAAAATAATAGAATCATATAAGTGACATTATGTAACTTATTTAAATAATATAACTTTTTGCCGTTTGAAGTGAAATATTTAAAAAAATTTTAGCGAAATTGTAGATAGAAAATGCTATAAGCATAACACGTTTTAATTTACACACGCACACAAACTTACACAAAATTATAATTACATCACTTACTTGAACTTTTATAGCATTTCACCAATTGCTGCTATTATTCTATCGCGTTGTGTCAGTTTCACGTTGCCCCTTCGTTTTTGTCCTACTACGTCCGCCGCTGAAAGGAAATTTAAGATATTTTATCAAATAAGAACAAATATACACTATTTTCCTATTGTATAAAATATTAATAGAAGTTTATGAAAATTGATGGTATTTTTAATATTGTCTACTAAATTATTTGTGCTTCTTATTACTATTGATCAATTATTTTTAATAATTGAAAGCAATAAATTTTCCCTAATTAATCAAATGTTTGAGTAAATTTTTTATTCCATTTATATTTACATATTTACATTTATTTTATAATAAATAACTGTACTAATATAAAATAGAAATACACTTTCTAATAATAATAGTTTTTTACATACAAAATTTATTAAATATTTTATCAATTCATAACAATAAAATAAATAGATATTTTAAAAACTATAATATTATTTTTTATAATTTATATTACGTAATAAAATATAATTATAAATGAAATATAAATATCTGCATATAATTAAAGATTCTGTATTTAAGGAGCTTTACATAAGTATTTATATATATCAATTTGTATACTTAATTTTTGTAATGTAGATAAGAAATAATGATGAATTCTCAAAGAAAGAAAATTTACTTTAGATATATATAATTAATATTTAGAATAAACTATTTATTAAATATCATTGTGTTAAGTATATTTTTATATATTTGTGATTATAATTAGAACATCAAATAGTAATTTTATAATTGAGGTCAGAAAAACATTGAAACTTTAACTCAATAAATTTTATAAATTATCTAAAGAAATATAATTATAAATATAAAATTTAATTTTTAGTTTTCATGTAATAATTCTGACGTACAATTTATTTTTCAATTTTTTGTTTAAAAGACGAATTTTTCCAAGCCTACAATGCACCATTTTTAAATACACTATAGGATGTGAATAACTTATACTAGATTAAAAGGAAAGAAAATTTCATTAAATAAATGAAATATAAAATTGATATACATATATACATCATTATAAAAAATATTTATTTATAAAAATTATTTTATTGAAAATTCACATATAAAATGATTGATAATTAATAAATACAAATTATCTAAAATGGGAAACCATTAATTTCATTAATATAATGATTTTTACCACATGAAGATCATGAAAAGGGTAAATTAAATAAAAATTAATGAGTTATTTCGAATTATCTACTATAAACTACATAATATGAACGAATTACTATACGTGAACAAACAATGTAAAACAATATATGCGAATTTTACACTACTCAAACTAACTTTCTGAATCACAAACGTACTTTTCGAATTATATAAAAATAATACTAATATAGAATTTTATGAAATAATATGTTTATTATTATCAAATTTCATGATTTGATTATATTATATTAAAATATTGTTTTAAATAAAAGAATATAGTATATCTATTGAATACAAATATTTTAAAAGATGATTTTCTTATAGTAAAATTAAAAATATAAATTAGTAACTTTTAATCTATGAATTAAGTACTAATTTATAATAATTCGTATACTTGTCAATATATGTGAATAATGATATAATAATGATACAAAATAATAATATAAATGATATAAAATAATAATGATATAAATATAATAATGATATAAAATAATGATATAAATATAATAATGATATAAAATAAATAAACGAAAAATTCGTTAAAATTATAAATATTACTGTAATTATACAAGGAGTATTTATATAATCATTATTCATATTTGTATAATTTAAATTTATATTTAGTCTCTTAGCTGCAAGAAACTAACAGTATTTTATAAAAAAATAATTTGAATATAAAATAATTTAATTTATTTATTAAGTAACTAATTAGTAAAATATTTAATTAAGAAATATTAATTAATATTATATAACCTATTTGTTAAACAAAATTTTAACATTACAGAGTGGAATATAAATATCAAAAAAATTTTTTAATTATTTCAATGTATTTATAAAATTTACTTTTATTTATTAATTATATTAATTTTCTTGAAATTAGTTATTTTATATATATTTTAAACAAAAAAAACAATCAAATAAAATATTTATAATTCATTAATAAAATTAGGGTAAACCTTCTATTATGGTATTGATACTTCCTATATACTGTCTATATATTTATGTCTAATTATTTTATACGTGTAAGCACTTGTCACACAATATACAAATGGTAAAATTTATAGCGAAAATAAACAAAAATAAATTAATAGTTTAATTTAGAATGTAAGCCAAAAGTATTTATATTTGTAATATTTTATAAAAATATTTATAAGAACATTAATTTTATAAAATCATACATTAAATTAAATACAAATACTATCAAAAAATCTCAAATTTATTTTCGGTCATATGTCAAAAAAAGAGAGAAAACATTGATATTTTCAGCATGCCTAAAACAATTTTCTTACAATCTATTTACTACTGTTTAAAATATTGTTCTTTGGTTAATTCTATTTTCGGAATATACAGATTGGCTGACAATTTAATCAATTTCTCAATTAATTTTATTATTATTATTAGTTATAAATATTAAAAGGAAAGGTACTAGTATTGATACTTGACTAATAGTTATTCAGTTCAGATAAATTTGAAATAAAAAATTTAATTTAATGTGTCTTTTGAATTTATAAATTTCATTGTTGGGACTAGATTTTTCATAAATATAATCGGTCGATTATTTTGAAGTAATTGAAGAGTAATTAAAAAATTCTTTTTTTATATATTATGAATAAAAAAAACTACGATTTAACATTACTTTTACATAAAACGAGAAACTCTAAAAAATTTATAATGATGAAAATTAAAATTTGTTTGGACCGTTTATAAAATTAAAAACTCAAAAGCAGTTAATTGTGCTAATTTTTGCAATTCTGCACTTATAAAAAAGGCTTTGTGTATTGTGTTTGCTAAATTTTGAATAAAGAAAGTATGTCGCAATTAGTCAATTCAAATAATACTCACAAATCATAATGGTTGAAAAATAATTGAAAATTTATTAATAAAAAACACTCCCTTATTCTGTATTGATTGCGATCTTGTTTAAAGCATTTAAGCTAAGAATATTAAATTTAAATAAGTATTCATTACTTAATTGAATACTGTGAAATTGAAAATACTTATATAATATAAAGGAACTCAAAATAAAATTATTAAGTATAAGTGCGATTTAATATGAAATTAAAAATAGTTAATTACTCGAATTTGTATAATTTATTTCACAACTTGTAATTGCTGTCAATATCACAATAGATAAAATTCAGTTCTATCAGAAGTAATACTTACACAGAATTTTTTTTTATTAAAAAATATTTAATACAATTTTATTTAAACTATATTGATATTGTTCAGAAATATGGCTTTTGAATTTATAAATCATAATTTAAATCTCTATGATAACCATAAGATGTTAAAATTGTTACAAGTATAATTTTTTTAGTATAAGTTAATATTGTTATACGTTTTCGTACATTCGATGACATATTTTGAGATTGCTAATAATAATACTGGTTCTTTCTAAATTTTTGCTTTTCTTATCATTTTATACAGAAAACCATTTCTCAAGAATTATCTTCATAATTTATAAGTAATCGATCGCATAGGTCGAAGTATATTTATACAATGTGAAATTAAAATTTACGAGTTCGAACGGAATCAATTTGAAGATGATAAAATTGGAGTTCGGCTTTTCCATTTGAAAACCATAACCACAGTACATCTACATTTATTCATGAACGAGGGATTGTACTTCTGTATTTCTAGTAACAGATGTTGATACAATCTGTTTGTTTTACATTAAAATTCGCTCTTGCCTTAGTTGCTCATCTAGTCAGTTCTGCTTACCATTCTCAGCTCACAAACAAGATCTTTTTTTCATCTATATATCAATAGTAACAGCAACAATAAAAAATAATTATAAAATATATACATAAATTTTATAAAAAAAAAGAAACTAATTGTTAACTTTCTTTTTAAAATTTTCTTCTATTGCCCTAACTTTAATCTGTATATATATTTGCATATTTTTCTTTTGTCTGTCCCATCTTTTAATCATTTTGTAAAGATTAATCTAAAATTCTATTGCTGAAAACTAATAAATAGAATTGCTAATACTTTATCGTTAATGAATTTATAAGTAATTTTAATTTTAATTAAATCATAATTAATAAAATATTTGGTCATAAAATATTATGTACCGAATAATATGTAATGAAAATAAAAATAACTTAGATGTTTTTATTTTCTAACATATTCTACAAGATTGTTATATATTTAACTTTATTATAAAAATGTAATTATAGTTTTTGTAAAACTAAATTTAAATAAGTATAAGAGCTGATGAAGTAAAAATAACTCTTATCAATTAATTCAATTCATTAATCCATTCATTGGAATAGCATAAAATGACATTATTTAAATTAATTAATATTTAAATACAGAAAAAAATGCTAAGAATATAAAAAAAAGTAAATTTAGTCAATGAAGATTTTAATAAATAAGTCAATTATTAATTTTAAAACACCTTTTTTTGTTTAATTTCTATGATTTTTTATTTAACTTAAATTTTTTATAACAATATGGATTCATAGTAATAAAATGATTAATTATTTATTAATATGCTAGAGACTTTCATTGAGTTACAGTCTGAGTGCCTTTTTGGTATTATATTGAATAAAAATTTTTTGCTTTTTATATAGTGAGCTTTATACATAGTGAGAAATAATACTGACCTTGGTTGATGCTCTTGATCATTATTGGTCCCTGAAGGTAAAGTTGCTGGATTATTAGTTGGCTGTGAATGTGCCATTGGTTGTTGCGTAGATGATAATGCTGGCTGTCTCGAATTACCAAATTTGAGCATGTTCCAATCGAACACGTAATCATATGTAAATCCCTGACTATGAAAAAGTGTACGAAACATGTGTCTGAGAAACATGTAATCAGCTTTTTCTTCAAACCGAAGATCTTTACAATATTTCAGATACCTTGCAAATTCCACTATAACAATTTATTTTCACTTATTTCATTTATTGCACCATATTAACTAAATATCTTACCTGGATAACCTTTACATAGCTCTTCAATTGGAGTTGACATTTTCTTTTCTGAAATACGTTCATATTTTTGTCTCTTTGTTGCAGCTTTTAGACCCTGCCATGGGAGACTGCCTCGGTTGAAGTACATCAAAACATATCCTAATGATTCAAGATCATCTCTTCTTGATTGCTCTACTCCAAGATGCGTATTTACACTTGCATATCTGCAAATTTCATATATAAAAATTTAATAAATCTCAATAAGTCTTAAATATATTTCTTACCTAGCTGTACCCGTCAGATTTTTATTTTCCCGATATGGTATATGTTTGTGAGTTCTTGCATCACGATATTTTTTTGCCAAACCAAAATCAATTATATATACAAGATTTCCTTTCTTTCCCAAACCCATCAAAAAATTATCTGGTTTAATATCCCGATGAATAAAACCACGGCTATGTATATATTCTGTTCTACATATCTATAAAACACATATTTTAATATAAATTTCTAATGAAATAAAAAAATATTTTAATAAAATAATAAAATACAAAATAAAATTGAAAATATCGATATTTTATTTATGATGCAATAAATATATGCAAATTAATAAAAATACTAAAAATAGTTGCCGAAATATTTACTTACATATCTAAAATTTTTTATTTCAGAATAAAATATTAAATCATTCTTCATTAATCCTGTTAGTATTAAATTGATATATCAAATTTTATAAAAATTTTCGTTTTATATTAAAATAATTAAAAATCATTCTATTCACATAATAAAGAATTTTCTAAAATAAAAATTAAATAACAGATAAAAACATAGTTGACTATTGTACTCATATTAAAAATAATAAAGTATTATGAAAAAAATTTATTAAATTATAAGTAAAATTTTATGTACAAAATAAATATAAAATATTATAAATTATTTATTATTTTATTCTAATTTAAATTGTTTCATGTATAACTATTTTTAATACAAGCTATATATAACATATATGACAATATTATATAACTACTATTTTAATAATCTTTTAAATCAGTAAATATCAAATTAATTTAATTAAATTAATAGAATTATATACAATTTCAAAGTTATGATAATTTTTATAATTAATAAAATATAATCATCAAATTATAAACTGCTATCAAGATAAACTTACTAGTTGATCAGCAAGTAAAAGAACAGTTTTTAAAGAAAATCGACGAGAACAAAAATTAAAGAGATCTTCCAATGATGGACCTAAAAGTTCCATTACCATCACATTGTAATCACCCTCTGATCCACACCATTTTATTGTAGGAATACCAACTGTTAATAAAAATATAAATCATGAGAATTTTCACATAATAAAATTATACACTAACAAATATATTTAATAAATTTACAAATATGTAAATACAAAAATGGATTCATATTCACCTCCACCTTGTGTCAACCTATAGAATCTGGATTCAATGTGAAGCTGTGGATGTCTAGTTTTAATACATTCTAATTTAATTGCTACTTCTTCACCAGTGGATATGTTAGTTCCTAAAAATTGACCAAAAAAATTAAAAGGAATTAAAAGGTATTACATTAGCATTTAATATACCTAAGTATATGTCGCCAAAGGAGCCGCTTCCTATTTTACGGCCAAGCCGATATTTATTACCAACACGTAGTTCCATAGTTGAAATCACTCACGAACTCGTGATTAGCGATGGAAATACGATGCTTAGGTAATTGAAGCTCTACTGACTTAGTTGTGCTTGGCGTGTCGTGGTTAAACAAAACTGTGAGAGGGGACCAGGACTTCCATGTTCTTAAGACTCAGCGCGCTCCTAGCTGTTGGGCGAGGTAAATGCGCTGGCCATGAGTCGTTTTAACAATATTCTCTAGAATTTCCAGATAACCTACTAGTAATTATATTATGTATATATATTTTATCTTTAAGTAGTAGTTAATAATTTAGATTTTGTGCTGTATACTTCTTTAAAAATGTTTGTTTTTCCCTCGACCATCCGTATCACTTTTAATGAAAAAGTCAAAACTTTCAGAAAAGAAAACGAAAACCGTGGTGGCGCTGCAGAAGTTTCACTATACCTAATAGTTTTTATCTTTTTTCTTATTTTTATTCTTGCATCTGTTTCTTCAGATGTTGATTACTAAACTTTATTGTCATCTATCTTCATTATATTCATATATTCATTAAATTAATTAAAATAATTGCTATATGTTGGGATTTTTAGTTATATTTTTTTGTATGTGGTAAAAGTTCTTTGTATAAATGAATTCAATTCTTTCCTACTCAAATATACACATATCCACATTCTCTAACTTTAATAGATTAGCTTTTAAACTGTCACCCTGTTGCCAGATCTCGTGTCTCACTAATTCTTTTTTTTTTCTATTAAAGAATAATCTAATAAAAATTTAACTATAAATCAATAATTAACTTGTTCATATTTTTAAAAAAACTGAAAACCAAAAACCAACTATAATCAATGTCATTTATTCACGCATTTCTTTCTAATGTGTGATATTACACATTCTTTGCTTATATTAATTACTAAAATACTGTACGATTAAGGTCTATCACTTTCAATATAATAGTGTATATATTAGCAGTCTTCTGAATACATAATAATTTGAGAAAGAATGTAAATATAGATATATCAACATACAGATATTTTTATATATACATTATAGAATAAGTATAGAATGTATATTTCATTATGCAATATATACAACTATAAAAATGCTCTTGTATTTATTTTAAAGATAGAAATATATTTACAGGGTCTTCTTTTGGCTTCTTAAAAATGTAATTTAATAGAATATCAAGTAATATATAGTAATAGATTAATTTTCTGTTTGAAAAATATTTTTACTTCTACTTTTTATTTCTACTATTTAGAAGTTTTAAAAAGTATAAGTACATTCTGAATAAACTTGTTAAATAGTTTTTTATTGTACACAACTTACAAACATTAACATTTGATCTAAATAATACTGTTGTTTTATTTAATGATTTATTCAATATTAAGCTAGTCTTATAGTATCGCATAGCCTAAAAAATCAATTTTTTATTAAATTAAATTATTACATATATTATTAATAAATAAACATATATAATTAAATATTTTTTTAAATTGCAATATTTATAATCTTTTATGGGACATTCATACCTTTGTATAAGAAATAAATTAATTTGTGATGTCAGTAAACTACAAAATATTTACAATTATAAATCTAACAATCACATAGAAAAGTTGTACTTTTTTCCAAAAGATTTTTTACCAAAATATATTCAGTGATTTATTTGTCTTAACAAATTATTCAGCAATACTTTTCAATAAGGAAAGGTGGTATAATAAACAATTATTGTATTAATTATTATTAAATATATATTATATAATAATTAAATATTATTAATAATAACTATTATTTGCTGACAAACATTTGATACAAGTGGACAAGTTGCATCTTTAGGTGATTTAACTTTCGGAACAAGGTGCTAAGTATTTAGATTAAGAAATATATATTTGAAAGACTAAATATGTTATTAAAGAAATATTTAAAAGCGAATACATTTATGTAAATAATAAATACTATATCAATTCTGAAAAGTGGATGTTTAAAAGCTAATTTCTTAAAACTATTTTTAAAAGGATTAAAAAAACAAATAATTTCTTGAATTTTCAAAGAAATCATTAAAACATTTCTATCAAGAGTAATGTTATCTCGTTAAATATTATAACATGTACAAAAATATTATCAAATTTGTATAAAGAAATCAATTTTATTGGTGAATATATTATTAAAAATATTAAGAAATTTATTAATAATTATATATATATAGTTATATAAATATATAATAGATTAACTGAAAATAAATATATTTAAATCTAATATATTGAATTTTTATTTATATGTATCTAATTATAAAATATTTTAATAGAATTGAATATAGTAACTCTATACTCATTTATAATTGATATATTTTAATTGAATTATTTTATATATGTAATGAAAAGAAAATAATTTTTGTATATCAATATGTAAATTATGTATAATTATCTATAATTGTTATCATAAACGGTACATATTAAAATGAAAAATTTATAACTTAAATTTTTTTTCGATATTTTAAGAGCCAATTATCACACATTTCTGTATTAATTTAAAAATGCTATCAAAGTAAAAATAAATAAAAAATAATAGAGAAGAAAATAAAAAAAAAATGTAATAGTAAAAAAAGTAAAAATCAGACCTGATATGGATTGTTTACATTGATCTATCCTGTTACGGATTGCAGCAATTTACGCGGTAAACAAAGTGGGACAGGTAAAGACACCTGCTTAGGTCAAAATATTGTGCGACAAGTCATAATCATGATTCTACGAAATCGCACCAGTGACGTCACACAGCCCCCCCCCCCCACACAGGCCGCTACACCTCCTTTGGCAGAGGCAAAGGCGGCACCATCGCTGACCCTTACAGCGAGAATCTCCCACTACCACTGCGAGTTCATAACTACGAGTAGGCGAATCAAGAACCAAGCCATCAAGAATACACTTACAGGATTCTTGTCGTTCATATTAATTGAAGAAACTCTCATCTATTCATTGTATCGCACATTCAATCCTACATCAATAGACCACTGACTATTCATTATATTATTATAGTCAATAAAGGGAAAACACTACATTCAAAGGCAGCTGTTGAATTATTGCATTGTCCATTACACTTGCCAGCGAGCCTCCACCCACCATCTCAGGGAGGCTTTTAGTCTGATCCCAGACAAGTTGGTCCTTCGAGCCGGATAAGTGGAAATCAGTGCATACATCCAATACTATCAGTCATAAGGATAATAGCACAGTACGCAGATCATTGAGTACGAGAGAGATTCTTCACTACTGTAAGTAAAACTATACTGCTCTATAATATCAACATATCGACCTAAGACAAGAAGGAAATTAAAGAGTCGGTAGGTGCTACAACACGCAGCACCAGGGAAAAGCTAACCAGCGATCAAATCCTGACAGCCCAATCACAATGAGCCCGAATCGAGAAGATGCGAGCACTAACTGATAGACTTGATGCAGCCAAGGTACCCAGAAGCCTAATGGAAGTATTAGCAATAAAACAAACAATCAGTGAAATACACAACACATTCGCAACGGAACATAAATTCATTATAAATAGCTGGCCATTGTCAGGCGTATCACACGAGTATTTCACAAAGAACGCCATGGTGGAAGAGTGCATCTGCTACACCACGGCCACAGCGTTGATCATGAAACTGTGCCACGAATTGGGTGACACAACACAACCAACTGAAACCTCACTAAAGAGGATAAGCAATAGTCTCAGCACATGGAGCACAAACTCCAACATGGATGAGATACCATCTATGGAAGACACCATGGATGAATCACATAAGACATTCGCAATGGAATATAACTCGAATGAAACCACCTGGCCAGTGACTGGTGTCAATCACGAGTACTGTACAAAGGGCGCAGTGGAAAAAGAGCGTACATGCTGTACTACTGCAGTAGCGAATGCCAGAAAGCCGTGTCGAGATTTAAGCGAATCGACACAAACAAGCAAAATTACCAAGCCTGAAGAGAAGGCACAATGGCTGACCTTCCCGACATAACTATTCCAAAATTCTCAAAGGACATGGAGGCATCAACACAACACGATATCCCTACTGCAGGAAACTCCATGATAATGAACGTAGCCTTAACTCACGTCAACGACAAAACAGAAACGACATGGGAACGATCACTGTCGAGCACCACTACATACCCAAATCTCGCGCAACTGAAATCATTTACACTAGGTCAAGTAACCACACTAGACAACGTTACTGAAATAAGAAAAGAACAAGCTCAATCTCAACCCCACACATCTGGTAAGAAATTCGTAAGAATATGTCAGCGATCAACGGCGAATGAAAAAAGAGAAAAGTATTGGGATCACAATCAATCTCACTCCCTACGTATCTACTGCAACAAGAATTACAAAGTATGGATGTGCGATCAATTAAAAAAACTCACCATTAAGGAACTGTTGCGGAAAACTACAGCTATACATTAACTGTCCTGAATAACATTTGTCAAGCCCATACCTCAACAAGAAAGGCTGCATGGACAGCAACAAGGCACAACATGATTTAATACACGAAGAAAAAGGGAGCCATATATCCAAAAACGCCATCCTCATCATCACACAACTAGACCGGAAACCAAAATCTAAGCCCAAGAGCAACATCTCCACCCCAGAACACAACATGTCTAATGATAGATGAACAACTAAATAATTATAAATCTCGCAAAACAAAGATCGAATTGAGACACTCAAGGTTTTGGACAACAAACACATTGTTGAAATTAACTCAGATGATGAGACCCACTGAGGAGTAAGAACAATCAAAACTAATAGATAAAAACCATTCTCCTTACAAGAAAATACTAATTAAGTAAGTAGAAACGTAACAATGGCAAGGACACAGGGAATCCAATTGCCATACAAATAAGCTCGACCCCGTACATCCAATAACAGTTCGTAAGATTGTGTCAAGTCTTTACCACATCTGCCTATAGCACAATTGTCGATGTTCGGCTGGGTAATTATTGGACCAGCCGGCAACTACATTCACACTGCAACATCAATGACCATAATCACAGAAGGTCTAGAAGATAGCCTGCAAACTCTACTACTCAGATTTGGATAATAGAAGAAGAACCAAGGAAACCAAGCGGTCAACTGAATCCAGATCAACAGCAGTGTGAACAGCACTACATAGCGAACCAAGCACGCGTAGGCACTTGAAGATATATGGTCAAACTCCCCCTTTCAAAATCACCAGAAACACTCGGCGACTCATACTACGTGGCCCATCAATGCCTGGTGCGCCTACAAAACGGTTCACAAGGGACGACAATTATCGCACGCTATATATTCAATTCATGACAGAATACGAGAACATGAATCATATGCGAAGACTAGGGGCAAACTACCAGTCCAACAAAAAGGCGTACCATCTGCCGCACCATGGTGGACTAAACCGGACGGTTCTACGACCAAGCTAAGAGTCGTCTTTAATGGGTCGAGCTCATCATCAACTGGACGATTATTGAATGACATAATGCACACCGGCGTCAATCTAAATCCAGACATAGCAGATGTA